AGGCCCACGACTCCTCAACCCCCCTAAACCCTACAAGGGCCGTAAATCGACGAACGCTGTAAAGCCCTGATACGTGAACCCTATAAAGCCTGCAAACCCTGAAAACAACAAAAACCCTGGCAAAAACCCATAATTCCCCCATAGGCCCTAAACGCCTACAAGCCCTGAAGCCTACAAACCTCACCAGCCCTGAAATCCACAAAGCCCAACCCTAAACCCAATAAGCCCCAAACCCCAAAACCCTAAAAACTCTACGAACCCTTGCGCGGATACTCTCCCTTCTACCAATATACATAATACTACCAGATGACTATACATCTTTACAAGAAGGCCTAAACCCGAAACCATCTCATCCTGAACCCTAAACCCAAAGCCCAAAACCCTAAACCCTGACCCCAAACCCCAAAACCCCCAACTCCCTGAACCCCCAAAGCCGGGCGGCGGGTCCAGACCTCGCAACGGCCACCGGGATGGTACTCGATGCCTTTTTTCTCTCCAGAAACCAGGGTTTAGGGTTTAGGGCTAGGGTTTAGAGTTTAGGGTTTAGGGTATAGGGTTTAGGGTTTAGAGTTTCGGGGACTGCCCTAAACTCAGAAGGTTTGTACCCTTGCGTTCGGAAAACGATACGATCGAGCCCCTCAAGGAATACAAGGTGAAGTCATGTCATAGCCCTTCAGCCCTTCAGGGTGTTGAGTTTAGGGTTTAGGGTTTAGGGTTTAGGTCGCGAGTGTAAACTCCCTAAGACCTGAAGACCCTTAAAAACCCTAAACCCCAAACCCCAAGCCCTAAACCCCAGAACCCCTTCATCGGTGCGATGTCGGACACCTTTAGGGTTCAGGGCTTACCCCAAGCTTCTTGGAGACACCACTTGGAAGCCCTTGTGGCTGGTAAGTAGGGCTTAGGGTTTAGGGTTTAGGGTTTAGGGTTTAGGGTTTAGGGTTTAGGGTTTAGGGTTTAGGGTTTAGGGTTTAGGGTTTAGGGTTTAGGGTTTAGGGTTTAGGGTAAGTTGGGTTCTGGGGATGTTTATCGTAGGGCTTTCTAGGGGACACGGAGTAGACTTACTAAGTCAACAGGGCTTCCCAGTGCGACCCGCAGATACTAACGAAAGGTGCTCCCCAGCTTCCGGCGAAAGGTAATTAGAGGGTTTGGGGTTACGTTCGGGTTTAGGGTTTAGGGTTTAGGGCTTAGGGCTTAGGGCTTAGGGCTTAGGGTTTAGGGTTTAGGGTTTAGGGTTTAGGGTTTGGGGTTGAATTAGGGTTTACCCGGTTGGGCTTTGGGACATTTGATACTTTCCCTTCTTCCTTACACGGGAACCCAGTCATAAACCATTTTCACAGGGCTTAAAGGACGACTCAGCTTAGTACCCAGCTTTGGCTTCGGGAGTAGTCTAGGGTTTAGGGTTTAGGGTTTCGGGCTTAGGGTTAGGGTTTAGGGTTTAGGGCTCCCCAATCCTTGAAACAACAACCCGGCCAACCCCTGAAGCCGACATCCTCAACCACATGAACCCTAGAACCCTAAAACCCCACAAACCCTAAAACCCTGCAGGTCTCGTGTTTAGGGTTCAGGGTTTATATAGGGCGTAGGGTTAACCCCAAACCCCAAAAATTCTGGAATCTAACCTCAAACACCTCACCTCTTGAACTTGCAGACAGCCCCGACTACGTCCCCGACATGTTCTTCTCCTCAATCATAGGCAACCCACCCAAGCAAAGCGACCTAAACCCTGAAACCTTAGCTTGGGAGACCCCATAATCCCTACATCCTCTGATGACACATCCCTTGAACCCAACACCCCCAAGCCTAAAACCCTAAACCCTAAACCCTAAACCCTGAACCCTAAACCCTAAACCCCCTAGGGGGCCTCGGCAAGCCGAGTTGGCGACGCATCGCTCCGCGCAGGCGGCGAGGCTGGGGATGCCGCTGATGACCTGGGCGAGCTTGGGGTTCAGGGCCCTTCAGAATCAGGGTTTAGGGTTTAGGGTTTAGGGTTTAGGGTTTAGGGTTTAGGGTTTAGGGTTTAGGGTTTAGGGTATCCCTAAACCCTTACAAACCCTAAGCCCTAAGCCCCAAGCCCTAAACCCTAAACCCCGCCGGGCCACGGTGTAGTAGCTGGCACTGTTGTCGTTGACTGAGGAGCCACGGCATGCCTGGTCAGCACCACCGTTCCTCGGTTCAGGGTTTAGGGTTTAGGGTTTAGGGTTTAGGGTTTAGGGTTTAGGGTTTAGGGCTAGGGTTTAGGGTTTAGGGTTTAGGGTTTAGGGTTTAGGGCTAGGGTTTAGGGTTTAGGGCTAGGGTTAGAGGCTTCATAGGCCTTGGGGTGTGGGAGGGAAGCCTAAGCCTCTGGCCTCCACCCTGAGGTTAAAAAAGAAGCCCTGTCTCTTTCAGCCATAAGCCGACACAAGTCCGGGATGTAGGGTCCCGTAGGGTGTTTAGGGTATTTAGTGCATTTAGGGTTCTTAGGGACCTTAGGGTTTTTGGGGTTTAGGGTTTAGTAGTGCTTGGAATGCAGTGTTGAGTTTTTGTTTGTTTTAGGATGTTGGGCTGGTAGAACCTCCGGCAAACGCAACCAACCAACCGTCTGGAGCCCTCTGGACAAAAACTCCAAACCCAAAGCCCTAAACCCTAAACCCTAAACCCAAAGCCCTAAACGCAAAACGTAACGAAGCGAAACCCAAGGGTCACCTAGGAATCAAAAGGGTGCCCTTGTTGGTTTCAAGGGGCTTACATATAGGGAACCTAAATCCGCAACCAACCGGGTATGAGGGCCTACTCTGGGTCTCGTAAACCCTAAACCCTCAACAATGAACCCTGAACCCGGAACCCTAACGCTAAACCCTAAACCCTGAACCCTGAACCCTGAAACCTAAACCCTAAACCCTAAACCCTGCAGCCCAGGTGGCACAGGCTCGAAATCTGGCCCGGGTCCGGGCAGCAGCGTCGTCGTGTACACTGGTGCATTCCTTGGAGGCCCCTCACAGCAATCTCAGGGGACCGAATGAACCCCCAAAATTGGAGTCATGTACCCTGCGCTCCTCTAGTCCCTACTAAGGTATGAAACATAAACCCTTGAAGGGTTCAAGCAAACCAATGAAGGAGATTCGATCTTGGCTTGTTGCTGAGGATCTACCTCCAAGTCAGACGAGCCCTAAAACCCTAAACCGAAAACCCTACTCGGAGGTTCATGGGCAGTCGAAAACGAAGTACTTGGCAGAAGGTAATGAGAAGGCACAACTACGCCCGGACCCTAGACCCTAGACCCTAGACCCTAGACCCTAGACCTAGACCCTAGACCCTAAACCCTAAACCCTAAACCCTAAACCCTAAACCCTAAACCCTGAACCCTGAACCCTAATCAAACCGCCTAGACCCTCCATCCGACTCAAGAATGGCGCCACGACAGCCGACTGCCCTAAACCTTGCTCTCATCCTGCACCAACTTGAGGGTGTCTTGGCTCTGGGATTTCGGGCTTATGAGGCTTATTGGGCTTCGGGCTAAGGGTTTAGTATAGAAGGTATGCAAGGTACATAGTTTCGGGGTCTAGGGTTGAAGGTTTAGGGCTACACACGCTTGCCATGGCGCAGGTACCGGTAGCACTTGTAGTTTGCGAGCTCCTCGCGGCTCCACGGTCTGCACTGCTTTGGGGTTTGGGACGGCGGTGTGGGCACCAGCATGTCTCTGCTTCCGTGGGGGTCCGGGCCGTGTTTGTGGCTCCGAATACACGCAGAACTGCCGCAAATGCCGAGTTCGTTGCATGTTTTCCACAATGTGGAAAACATGCAAAACAACACGGCGCTCTTTCGTAGAACCATCGCCGTCCTGAGCATCTGGATGCACCAGGGTGCTAGTCTGGGCCCCGGCGCGGCGCGCATCAGGAGCATCAGCTGCGGGTCCTTGGCGGGCCTCGGCGGCTCGGCGCGCATCATGAGCATCAGGTGGGGTGCTTGGCGGCTCGAATGCAGCTGCGCGAGCCCCACGCCCGAGGCGTGCATCATGAGCATCAACGGCCCCGTGCCCCGGCCCCGCGATCAGGAGCCGCAGCAGGAACCCCCAAAGCGCACTGCGTGGCGATTCGCCACTTGGGATCTTCGGTTCAGGGGTTAGATTTAGGTTGGATTCGAAGTGGGGGAGTGAGGGCTCAAGGCTTTGGGGCTAGGGCGCAATGGCGTGAAACCCTAAACCCTAAACCCTAAACCCTAAATGCCCAAACCCTAAACCCTGAACCCTAAACCCTAAACTGCTGGCTGCGGGCCGAGACGCCACCGATCTATAAGGTTTAGGGTTTATAGGGTTTAGGGTTTATAGGGTATAGGGTAAAGAGTTTAGGGTTTGGGGTTTAGGGTTTAGGCTTTAGGGTTCAGGGTTTAGGGTTTAGGGTTTAGGGTTAGGGCTTAGGGCTCAAAAAGATCTTAGGGCTTGGGGGTTTACCTGCTGGACAGCGGCTCCTTGGGCCATTCTAGGGCTTAGGCGAACTTTAGGGTTTAGGGTTTAGGGTTTAGGGTTTAGGGTTTAGGGTTTAGGGTTTAGGGTTTAGGGGCAAGTCGCGGTCAGTCCGTGAGCTGCTTTTAACCGCCGAGGGCGCGTGCGGTGGCAGAAGCAATCTGTACAGGTCCGCCCCCCGGCGGTTGCGAGGGGGTCTACTTGGAGGTTCCTGGTACTTCTTAACCAATGATAACTGTACTTATAACTGTACTTCTAGCCATATGAGGGCACTTGAGGGGCTTGTGAGTGGGACATAAGGGGCTTATAAGTGGGACATAAGTACAGTTATGTTTGGTTAATAGGTGCCATGAACCTCCAAGAACAAGGCTGCTCGACAAGAGTCGTACCGCAAAGGCAGGCGCAAAAGCAAAGGGTAGAATCCTCATTCCACCCGGAATGTGTGCCCAGACTGGTCTCGCTGGCAAGCCCCTAAAACCTTAAACCTTCAAGCCTAGACCCTAAACCCTAACCCTAAACCCTAAACCCTAAACCCTAAACCCTAAACCCTAAACCCTAACCCCTAGGCCCCGGCCAGAAGAACAGCCTTGAGCTCTGCGACGGTATCGACCACAAGGTCGAAGAAAGGTTCCAGGGTCTCTCTTGTGTAGGAGCCCCAAGCAACCTTTGGGTGACAAGCTGAAGCCCGACAGAGTTTAGGGTTTAGGGGTTAGGGTTTAGGGTTTAGGGTTTAGGGTTTAGGGTTTAGGGTTTAGGGTTTAGGGTTTAGGGTTTAGGGTTTAGGGTTTAGGGTTTGGGGCGTCAGGAGGGTTGCGCGCTTGAGGTTCGCAGACTCCGCTGAACCTTGTTCATTGTCTTTGGGTCTAAATTCCGTCTCCAAGGAACTCCAACCGAAGCCACGCCGGCGGCCCTGGCCGCCTTGCCGTCAGTGGGGGCATCGCCGACGTAGACCAGCTGCGATGCTTTTAGTTGGAGCTCATCGCCGCACAAGAGGAGCCCATCCTCGTGGGGACACCAGGAAAACTCCACAGGTGTGCCTTTTTACGGATTTCAGTAGCTCCGGGAGTATGACCCGAATTCTAGGGTTCAATTCTGCCCCTTGAATTCTGATCACTTCGATTCATAGGGAGTACTTGGAAGCCTGACCTTGTAAGTAGGGATAGTACGGCGGGTCATGGGGATTGTCATAAATAGGGTTCTCGGGGATATACTAAATAGACCTACTAAGTCAAAAAACCTTCTGAGTATGGTGGCAATAGGGCGGGGTAAACACTGCCCTCTTCCTAGGCCTTCCCCTCCTCTCTTTAACTCCTTAAATTACAAAGGGGGGCATCGTCGTCATAGGAGGAGGGGGAGCGGCTCTCTAAACTCTAAACCCTAAACCCGAAACCCTGAACCCTAAACCCTAAACCATAAACCCCACACCCTAAACCCTAAACCCTAAACCCCACACCCTAAACCCTAAACCCTAAACCCCAAACCCTAAACCCCAAACCCTAAACCGCACTGATCCCAACCTTCACAGATCCTTTTGTCCCCAAGGCGCGGGGGCAGGCTTTGGTGATGGCACCGTGTCGGCGCCGTGCCGCACCACGAGGAAATCCTTGGCAAACGAACCCCCCAAAAAGGGTTTCGGGTTTAGGGTTTAGGGTGTTTATGGTTCATATACCTTAGTAGGGGTTATTCAGTAGTATAAGGTATAAGACCCGTAACAAACTATACTAGCATAGGGTATACGACCCCAGTTCTGGGGTTCGTTTGGTCCCCAGCCCTAAACCCTAAAGCCCTAAAGCCTGAACCCTAAACCCTAAACCCGAAACCCTAAACCCTAAACCCGAAAACCCTAAATCCTAAACCCTATAGACCTTAAACCTAAACCCGAAAACCCTAAACCCTAAACCCCAAACCCTAAACCCTAAACCCTAAACCCCATGGTTCAGCTGGTCCCCAAGGATCCCCGAGGTGATTCTCGCGAGCCACGGCCTCCACGTACGCGGCGGCCGCGTTGGAGAGGGCGCCCATCTTGACCTCCAGGGAACCCTAAACCCTAAACCCTAAACCCTAAACCCTAAACCCTAAACCCTAAACCCTAAACCCTAAACCTTAAACCCTAAACCCTAAACCCTATAAACCCTAAACCCCAAGCCCCAAACCCCAAACCCTAAACCCTAAACCCTAAACCCCATTTTGGAAAACTCCATCCCACCTCCTGGCCCTTGAGGAGCTTGAGCAAGTCGCCCACGCCATCAAAGAGCCTCCACGCGAGGGGGTCACAACTACAGAAACTTAAGGAAGGGTTTAGGGTTTAGGGCTTAGGGTTAGGGTTTAGGGTTTAGGGTTGGGGTTTAGGGTTTAGGGTTTAGGGTTAAGGGTTTGGGGTTTAGGGTTTCGGGTTTAGGGTTTATGGTTTACGGTTTAGGGTTTAGGGCCCTTACGTACCTAGTACCGCCCCCATACTGTAAGCCCAAGGGCCCATACTTCAGAAACCCTTTAAGGGTCAGGGACCATATTGAGGGCCCATAACCAGAAACCCAGGGCCCTACTCAGAAGCTCTACTGACTTGGTGAGTCTGCCTCGTACCCCCTAGAAACCCGATTATAGTCCCCATAACCCACCTTGCTAACCCCGACCGAAAGCCTAAAGCTCATCAACCGTAAAGCAAAGGCCACCCTGGAAGCTCTAAATGGAGCTCCAAAACCCAACACTACGTCCTCAAATATCCTCGCCCTAAACCCTAAACCCTATAAACCCTAAACCCTAAACCCTGAACCCAAAACCTCGCCGATTCAGGCGTCACCAGGGACACGTAAACGCTGTCGAAGGCTTGGCCCATCTCCTTGAGAGTTTTGGGGGAGTAAATGGAGGGGCCCCTACTTGCAGCCCCAAAACACCAAACCTTGAACCCCAAACCTCAAACCCTAAACCCTAAACCTCAAACCCTGAACCCTAAACCCTAAACCCAAAACCCTAAAATGCCCTAACCCCCCCCCCCCCCCCCCACTTCGTCACGAAGTCTCCCCGCCCAACGCCGCAGCCGCCGCCAAGTCATCCTCGGGAGTCTCGGCGAGTCGGGCATGCCAGGCCATGCCTTGCATCGCAGGGTTTAGGGTTTAGGGTTTGGGGTTTAGGGTTTGGGGTTTAGGGTTTAGGGTTTGGGGTTTGGGGTTTGGGGTTTAGGGGTTAGGGTTTAGGGTTTAGGGGTTTAGGGCTTAGGGCTTAGGGTCTAGGGCTTAGGGTTTAGGCTTACAAGTAACATGGATATGGGCCCTGAATTGGGGAACCCTTGTATACTCCTAAGATACCCGAAGAGACCCAGAAGGCTCAGACTCAGGGACCATGTAAATTCCCTTAAATACGGAGTGCTTCGGCCTGAGGGGTCATGAGGGTTTAGGGTTTCGGGGTTTAGGAGGTTCATAGGCTCAAGAGGGTTCAGGTTTATAAGGGCCTATAGGGCTTCGGGTTTAGGGTTTAGGGACGTCAGCAAGACCTGCCCTTCAGTCTAGACCCTAAGCCTCTGCTTTGGTAAACTCCAAGAGGCGTACGGGCGTTGTGTACTTGGTCCCCCGGTGGTACTCATTCTCGTCGATGAGAGGATAGCTGAACCGCTCCAACACCTGCTCGAGTTGACGTTGAAGTCCCCAAACCCTAAACCCTAAACCCTAAACCCTAAACCCTAACCCCTAACCCCTAACCCCTAAACCCTAAACCCTAAACCCTAAACCGCCCAACATGACTCTTCTTCCGGCAGTCTCGGCTATGGTTGAGGGCTTATAGGGCTTAGAGTGTATAAGGCAAATGGCCCATGAACCTTACTGCGGTTTAGAATTTAGGGTTTAGGTTTTGCCAATCAACCCAGGATTAAAAAGGGTGCTCAATTTTTGTCTAAAGCGGTTTACAAGGGAACCTAACCCCCAAAAAAGGGAAAAAGGGTACAGCACTACTGGGCGTGCTAGTGGTCCATGAACCTTACTGCGGTTCGTGCCAATAGAAAGCGACCGTACCGTAGAGAACCCACAAAAAGAAGGAGGGTTTAGGGTTTGGGGTTTGGGGTTTGGGGTTTAGGGGTTAGGGTTTAGGGTTTAGGGTTTAGGGGTTTAGGGTTTAGGGTTTAGGGTTTAGGGTTTAGGGTTTAGGGTTTAGGGTTTAGGGTTTAGGGTTTAGGGTTTAGGGTTTAGGGTTTAGGGTTCAGCATTTCAAGTCCAAGCATTCACTAGACTCACTAGACAAGAATTACTTCAGAAAAACACCCACCCACCCAAAGAATCCCACAACATTAAGAAACTATTTCACTTATGGAACGACCTTGCCCAGTAAACAAATGACCTTGCCCAGTAAACAAATGACCTTGCCGAGTAAACAAATGACCTTGCCCAGTAAAAAAATGACCTTGCCCCGTAAAACAAATGACCTTGCCCAGTAAAAAAACGACCTTGCCCAGTAAAAAAATGACCTTGCCCAGTAAAAAAAACGTGACCTTGCCCAGTAAAAAAAATGACCTTGCCCAGTAAAAGAGCTACTGGGCAAGGTCATTTTTTATTGGGCGAGGTCATTTTGTATTGGGCCCAGTAAAAGGTGACCTTGCCCAGTAAAACAACGACCTTGCCCGGGAGAAAAAATGACCTTGCCCAGTAACAAAAATGACCTTGCCCAATAAAAGAAATGACCTTGCCCAGCAAAAAAATGACCTTGCCCAGTAACAAAATGACCTTGCCCAGTAAAAAATGACCTTGCCCAGTAAAAGAGTTACTGGGCAATGTCATTGTTTTTACTGGGCAAGGTCATTTTGTACTGGGCAAGGTCGTTTTTTGGGCCGAACGACCTTGCCCAGTAAAAAATGACCTTGCCCAGTAAAAAATGACCATGCCCAGTAACTCCAGAAACATTTAAATTGTATATGAAAGAGAGGTTTCGGGTTTAGGGTTTAGGGCTTAGGGTTTAGGGTTTAGGGTTTAGGGTTTAGTATTTCGGGTTTAGGGTTTAGGGTTTAGGGGTTAGGGGTTAGGGAGGAACCTAGAAGCTATCATGGACTTGAATGAGGCCTTGGGATGTTCCGCCCTATACGAAAAGTCCTTAATGGGGATTCTAGTACCCCCTATTACAATCCCTACTCAGGACTGTTAGTGTAAGGGGGAACATCCCATATGAAACCTGCTACCGGGCACTGAAGTAGTAGCTTCACGCGGGGGGCTTGAAGTTAAGGGTTCAGGGTTTCGTGTTTAGGGTTTGAGGTTTAGGGCCCCTTTCAAGGACCACGAAGACTCGTACAAACCTCAGGAACTCAACGTTGAGAGTTCAATTTAGAAACCCATAAACTCCCCAAACCCCAAACCCCAAACCCCAAAACCCCAAACCCCCAATCCCAAACCCCAAACCCTAAACCCTGAAACCCTAAACTCCAAACCCTAAATCCTCGCCGAAACCCTAAACCCGAGCTTACACCCCAAACCCGAAACCCTAAACCCAAAGAGGGGGTGGGCTTATATAATCCCCTAAGGGGTATATATAGGGGGATATAGGGTACCTCATTCCCTCATTCCCTACTAACTGACAGTAAGAAGAGCTCTAACGAAGGTGTCGATCCTTGTTCGTGGTGCTGAAGCCCAAGTACCAGGAGTCCACCAAGGTACCGTCAACCTCGACTTGCTTCAGGGTTTTGGGTTATTCGGGTTTAAATTTGAACCCAAAACCCTAAACTCTAAACCCAAAACCCTAAACCCTACACCCTAAACCCCGTGTGGAACATGAGGTTCATAAGTTCAGTCGACTGCAGGAGGGGCCCTTGTAAGTCAACTTAGGGGGAATGTAGGGATTACTTAGGTCTGTAGGGACTGATAAGGTATAGATAGGTGTTGTATAAATTATAGGGGAATAGGATTAAGGGGCCCCTTCTTGGGGGTTTAGGGTTTAGGGGTTTAGGGGTTCAGGGGTTCAGGGGTTCAGGGGATTAGGGGTTTAGGGGTTCAGGGTCCCTCCGTATATCTCTTACTAAGGCGTGTTTAGGGCCCAGGGTGTCAGTAGGAAACCTCGCCCTCAATAACGGGGAAAAGGGGAGACCACCGTCGATTCATTCTAGGACTCTTGGCAGGGGATTGGAGACTTCGGGTTTAGGGTTTAGGGTTTGGGTTTAGGGTTTAGAGTTTGGGGCTTAGGTTTTGCTTTGGGGGGGGGGGGGGGGGGGGGGGGGGGGGGAAGGGTGCTAGAACAGAACGAAAACCTGAATCATATTGCACCAGGCTTCTTCCAAAGAGCTCTGTCTATCACTCTACAAAGACGACTGCTGACCACCATAAACCCTAAATCCAGGAAGAAAAAACTTTCACACACACACACACACACAAAGCCCTAAACCCTGAACCCTAAACCCTGAACCCTAAACCTAAACCCAAAACCCTAAACGCCCAAGCGGCATCGAACACCACGCCGCGAAAGTCGGGCAGCACGGCCTTTCGGGGCATCGCCGCAGCCGCCATGGCCACCACTTTTTCGGCGTTCGCGAGCTTCACGACGTTGAGGGTTATAGGGTTTCGGGTTTTAGGGTTTAGGGTTTAGGTTCTTTGGGTCTTTATAGAGAGCCCAGGGAATTTCGGTGATTTAGGGGGGTCAAGGTTTGTGGATCCTTAGTAGAACTACGAACTCAAATGAGCTCCGATGCGCAGGGACACTGGACTCCGACGCTTTGGGGGCTCCGAGGGGTTTAGGGTTTAGGGTTTAGGGTTTAGGGTTTAGGGTTTAGGGTTTCGGGAGGCGCCAGTCCAGGGGATGCTCCGCGCCCTGGTGGCAAGTGCCGCAAGAGTTGTTGTGGGGTGGAGTTTGAGGTTTAAAGGGTTCGCAGGGCCCCTTTTACCCTTCAAGGGATTATATAGGGCCCTATATATATATGTATATATATATATACCCTTTAAGGAATTACATAGCGCCCTGTATATACATATAGACATATATATATATATATATGTCCCTTTTTGGTATGTATATAGATATATATATATATATATATATATATCATAGGGTGTATGTAGGGCGTCGCATGGGCTATACCTAGGGGGTTCAAGCTTCTTAATTAATCGTGAACAACCTCCTGATAGGACAGACTCGACCTAACCACCACAGAACATAAATCTACCAGCCCTCATCCCAAAGCCCCAAAGCCCCAAAGCCCAAAGCCCAAAGCCCCAAAGCCCCAAAGCCCCAAGGCCCCAAAGCCCAAATTACGACTGCAAAACCCCTGAAGCCCCCAACACACATGTCGGGCGTTGCAACGTGGAGCCTTGGTGCAGGGTCCAAGCTGCGTGGGGCGCGCCCCTACATCTAAAGAAACGGCGCGCTCGCGCGTGCACTCATGCAAACCCTAAACCCTAAACCCTAAACCCTAAACCCTAAACCCTAAACCCTAGGCCCTAAGCCCTAAGCCCTAAGCCCTAAGCCCTAAGCCCTAAGCCCAAAACCCCCCCCCCCCCACGAGCAAGAAGACACCAGTCTTTCTCTCCCCCCCCCGGGGTGACTCCTTAAACCCTAAACCCTAAACCCTAAACCCTAAACCCTAAACCCTAAACCCTAAACCCTAAACCTTAAACCCTAAACCCTAAACCCTAAACCCTAACCCTAAACCCTAAACCCTAAACCCTAAACGGTCTCCTTGGTGGCCTGGATGCCCTCAGGCCGGGTCCAGACTTCGCAGCGCTTGCCGGGATGGTACCTTTGGAGGCTTCTTCTTAAGGTTTAGGGTTTAGGGTTTAGGGTTTAGGGTTTAGGGTTTAGGGTTTAGGGTTTAGGGTTTAGGGTTTAGGGTTTAGGGTTTAGGGTTTAGGGTTTAGGTCTTCGGGTGTTGGGGTTTAGGGTTCAGGGGTGCTGCTGTACGCCTCCGAATGCCTATGCCGTTTCGAAGCTTGGGCTGAGGTGGAGAGCCCCTTCTACTGAGAAGCTCTTTTGACTCAGTAAGTCTACTTAGTATCCCCTAGAAAACCTACGATAGTCCCCATATATAACCCACCTTCCTAACCCTACTTACTGAGTCAACAGGGCTTCCAGGTAGGGCTGTTGCCTGGGGCTCGGAGTTTTTAGGGCTTAGGGCTTAGGGCTTAGGGTTTAGGGCCCTACCCAGAGAGGGCGCTGCCAGGAATCCATAGTTTCTGGTGACCCTGTGAGGGCACGCAGGGCTTATGTAGGGGGCTCTATGAGAGCCTAGGAGACTCCCTAAACCCTAAACACTAAACCCCTAAGCCCTAAGCCCTGAGCCCTGAGCCAAGAGCCCTGAGCCAAGAGCCCTGAGCCCTGAGCCCCGAGCCCTAAACCTGGGTCATCTCTGCTAAGCCCCACCAGAACCTAAAGAATCTGGAAGCCGGGAAATCAGAATTCAAAAATCAAAAACGCCTCCTACTTGTCGTGTGGTCTCTTTGGGGATAAAACAAGAAATAAACCTAAGATATTCTAGGGTTTAGGGTTTAGGGCTAGGGTTTAGGGTTTAGGGTTTAGGGCTTGGGGTGCTCCCTCAAACACAGTCGACTAAGAGTCTGCAAGGACAGGGTGCTCGATTCCCTGGCAGCTCGCCGACATCGCCACGCACCTGCCACAGCACAACTGGGGTTTAGGGTATAGGGTTTACGGTTTGGGGTTTAGGGTCTAGAGAGGCCATCCGCCTGTCCAACCTTGCAAGGGTCTGAAACCCTAAACCCTACTGTAAACCCTAAACCCAAAGCCCTGAAAGCCTAAGCATCTTTATTACCCTAAGGCTCCAAGGACCCTCCTGCACAGGGACTCCTTGGGAGGGCTCTGGGGCCTCAATTTCTGGGAGCCTTGGGGTAGGAGTGACGGCAAGTCGGGTGCCCAAGCATGTGCGATGTGCAAGCAAGGGCTTATGTGGACTGGCGAAGGCGCGGTCCGCGTTGCCCTTGTGATGCTGTGTGACTTGCAAATATACTCATATCTTAGTCTCAGAATATCACATATCATAATCTCATACATATTCTACTACCGCAGTATAATCATATAAGAACCCTGCAATATAGCAATCTTGCGCCCCCTGCCACCGACTCTGATGCGCTAAAGCGGCTGAAGAGCACAAAAAACAGCCGTGCGCCCTGAACAACACAATACCCGGAACCACCCAACGAATAACAGTGTAGGATTTGGCTTTACGGCTTAACCCTAAACCCTGAAAACCCTAACCCTGAAGACCCTAAAACCCCTAAAGCCCTAAGACCTTTAGACCTAGGGTTTAGATGGCTTAGGGCTACCCGTAGCCCTAAACCCTAAACCCTAAACCCTAAACCCTAAACCCTAAACCCTAAACCCTAAACCCTAAACCCTAAACCCTAAACCCTAAACTGCATGGAGTGGCCTCGCAGCACAGGCCTCCAAGGTTTCCTCCTAGGCTGCAGTTCAGGGAGCTTCGGGCCACTTGGGGTTTGGGGTTTGGGGGCTAGGGCTAGGGTTTAGGGTTTAGGGCTTAGGGCTTAGGGCTTAGGGTTTAGGGTTTAGGGTTTAGGGTTTAGGGTTTAGGGTTTAGGGTTTAGGGTTTAGGGTTGAGGGATTTTTTTAACTGGAGTCGCACTAGGTACGTGGCGAAATCGCCTACACCACTACTCATCCCAAATAATCCGCCATTGGCATGGTAGAAGAGCTCGTAGATCCCCAGTCACAGGGTTTAGGGCTTAGGGTTTGAGCGTTTGGGGTTTGGGGGTTTAGTTTTGGGTTTGGCTGGAGGGTGGGGGGGGGGGTGGTGGGGCAGGTGAGGAGGGGGAGGGGGTGGGGGTGGGGCCCAAACAAATGTGGGGCTTTGGGATGGTCAGGGCACAAACCTTCAAGCCCTAAACCTTAAACCTAAACCCTAAACCCGAAATGCTAAACCCTAAACCAGAAAACCCCAAACCCTCAGAAGGCCCGAAGCATTGAAGCCGCGAAAGAAATCAAGGCGCTGGATAGAAGACTTCGAAGTAAGAGGCGCTGTTGTCGCTGACCTTGACGAAGAGGGTGCGGTTTAGGGTTTGGGTGTAAAGTTGGGCTTAGGCCGAGGGGTTAGGGTTTAGGGTGGTTAGGGTTTAGGGCAAGTTTAGGGTTAAGGGCTGACTGTTCCAGTGGGTTTTCCAGTCTACTGAAGTGCGCTTCGCTACCGAAAGCGCCCAATGCCTCTTAATCAAGGAATGTGCCTCAAATCATGTGGAGGATAACTATGTGAAATCAGGTTAATTCCTAGGGTTTAGGGTTTAGGGTTCAGGGTTCAGGGTTTAGGGTTTAGGGTTTAGGGTTGAGATCCCAGTGGCCGAAGCTCCCCGGCAGGCGCGGTCGTTGCCCCCATCCACGGGCTCAAAGGCGGCGAGCGCCACCCTTTTGGGCATTAGGGTTTGGGGTTTGTAGGGTTTAGGGTTTAGGGTTTCGGGTTTCGGGTTTCGGGTTTTAGGGTTTAGGGTTTAGGCTTAGGGTTTAGGGTTTAGGGTATAGGGTTCAGGGTTTCGGGTTTCGGGCTTATTGGGCTCAGGGCTTACATTGCCCTTTGAGGAATCGAAGATGGGGAACCCTAAACCCTAAACCCTAAACCCTAAACCCCAAGGATCGGGTGAGCCCAGATCGCACTCAAGGACATGTTTTAGGGATTTCGGGCTAGCCTGAAGTTCAGGAAGCTTCGGGCCTCCTTAGGGCTTAGGGTTTGGGGTTTAGGGCTAGGGTTTAGGGTTTAGGGTTTAGGGTTTAGGGTTTAGGGTTTAGGGTTTAGGGTTTAGGGTTTAGGGTTTAGGGTTTAGGGTTTAGGGTTTACGGTTGTCGGGTCCTAATCCCTGAGCCCTCTAGTCCTTCCTTGGGGACTCAGGGTTTCCTTGGAAGCCCTTTGACTTAGAAAGTAGGGTCACTGAGGTGGGTTCTGGGGATTGCAATCGTCTTTCTAGGGGATCCGAAGTATGGGCCCTTAGTTTGGGTCCCCTGCCTTTTTCCCCTAATAAACACTACACAGAATAAGGGGCCATATCCCTCGGATCCCTTTCAAGGGACCGTACTAAGGGCCCATGGTTTCCAACCTTAGATTCTCGCAGATACCTCGTAGACTTGCCAAGTGAAAAAAGAGCTTCGAAGTAGGGTTTTCCCCTAAACCCTAAACCCTAAACCCTAAACCCTAAACCCTAAACCCTAAACCCTAAACCCTATACAGGGCTCTGAGGCAATTATGGGCTCTTGGGTTAATTCGGGGTATGTAAGGGGGTGTATAAGGGGTCCCGATTTAAGGGCCCTATACTAAGGGACCATGGAACTCCTAAACCCTAAACCCTAAACCCTAAACCCTAAACCCTAAACCCTAAACCCTAAACCCTAAACCCTAACTTCCAAGCACACCCGCATGTTTGGGTTCAGGGTTTCAGGGCGAGGGGAGTTTAGGGCTCGGGTGTGTGCAAGTTCGGCGCAAGGGGTCTGGGCTTTCAATTTAGGGTTTAGGGTTTCGGGTTTCGGCTTGCGGCTTTCGGGTTTAGGGCACCGGCAAGGGTTTAGTAGGGTTTAGGGTTTAGGGTTTAGGGTTTCGGGTTTAGGGTTTTAGGGGGTTTTTGCCCTGAGTCCAAAAGTGGTGCTCTGGGACAAACGTCTGTTCATAGCAGGCGTTCGAATTGCAGGCACTAACAAGCCCCGAACTTCCCTCGATTCGCCAAGCTTCCCTCCGGCTGTGGTCGTCGTCACGGTGGTGGTCGCTGTGGTGGTTGTGGGGCTCGTGGTGGTGGTCGTGGTGGTGGTGGTGGTGGTGGTGGTGGTCGTGGTGGTGGTGGTCGTCGTCGTTGTGGTGGTGGTAGCGGTGGTGGTGGTGGTGGTCGTTGTGGTGGTGGTGGTGGTCGTAGTTGTGGTGGTTGTAGTGGTGGTGGTGGTAGTGGTGGTGGTGGTGGTTGTGGTGGTGGTGGTGGTCGTTGTGGTGGTGGTCGTCGTTGTAGTTGTGGTGGTGGGGTCTGCGCAGTACCCCCAATTGCGTCCCTCGCAGGCGCTGTCTTTCACAAAGCACCACGTACCTCTGGGATCGTTGTCTGGATTGCCTGAGCGCATCTTTGCAAAAAGGCAAAAAATCTGAAACTGGGCCTAACCCGAAACCCCTGGAACCCAAATGTGGGTTTACGAACATGAGGGACCCCTACTATAGCCTACAAATAGTAGGATGCCCTTTTCATAAGGTACCCCAATTTCGGAAACCCCAAAATGCGTATACCAAACCCGGCTACCCAGAGCCCTAGGACCCTCAGACCCCCCCCCCCCCCCCCCCCCACCACCGGACACGCCAAACACCCGACCAGAGATACTAAATCGTTTGGGTTCCTTGTTTATATGGTAACGAAATGGAGTAAACTTGGGATCTTCCCCCTTTTTCTAACAGTCCCTAATAGGGATTATTATACCCCTATGTTGATCCCTAGTGAGGACTGGTAGTATAAGAAAAAACCTCAGAAAGTAAACCCTAACACCTAAGCCCTACACCCTACACACGTAATACGTGACAAGCCGCCTAAACCCCAAACACTAAACCCTAAACCCTAAACCCTGAAAAATGGACACTCTGACAAGGAGGACTCCAGGAAAGAAACTGGCCGAACCTCTTAAGGGACACAACAACAGTGACCGGAAGACGCAGCATTGAAGTCGGACTTCAGGAAATGGGTTATGGGCCAAGGGTTTAGGGTTTAGGGTTTAGGGTTTAGGGTTTAGGGTTTAGGGCCAGGAGATGTGGGGCTTAGGCTTTACGGCTTGGAGGTTTCGGTCCTCCCTAGCCCGTGAAGCCAGACTCTACCGCGTCAGCAACTCGCTGCCAAGCTTCAGCAGTAGTTTTCGCACGGCGCGCTGGTGCCATACAGCTTCCTGGGTTGAAGCTAAGCCCACAACCCTACACCCTGAAACCCTATCTTCAATCTGAACCTGAGGCGCCCCAGCTTCAAACCCTAAACCCTAAACCCTAAACCCTAAACCCTAAACCCTAAACCCTAAACCCTAAACCCTAAACCCTAAACCCTAAACCCTAAACCCTAAACCTAAACCCTAAACCCTAAACCCTAAAACTGAAGGGCGTTAAAGTCCCTTAAGCTGCCACCAACGGCGCCAAGACTTGTAGCACTCGCAGCCCCTCGTCGTTACCCTGAGTCCAGGCGGGGCTCGAAGGTTTGGGGTTCAAGATTTAGGGTTTAGGGTTTAGGGTTTGGGGTTTGGGGTTTGGGGTTTGGGGTTTGGGGTTTGGGGTTTGGGGTTTGGGGGGAAAGGAGAGAGGGGGAGGGTGACCCCGCAAGTTTCATATTTAGGGCTGTGATGTTCCCTTATACTAGCAGTCCTTCATGGGGATTATAATAGGGGGGGGGGGGGTACTATAATCCTTATTATGGACTGTTAGTATAAGGGGGAACATCCCGAATTTAGGGCTTTAAGCAAGCAGGCGTTGGGTGCACTCTGCCCGCGATTTAGCTTTTGGGATTTTTCGGGATGTAGGTAGGGCTTCGGGGCCATTTGGAGTCGGGGGTTGGGGCTTTGGAGGTTTTTGGTTTCGGGCTTAGGGGTTTAGGGTTTAGGGTTTAGGGTTTAGGGTTCAGGATTCTTGCTCTGTTTTTTGAGGCTTCTGAAGGGAGACTCCCCCTTGCAAGCGCACCCAGAGTCGCTGACCGTGACCCCTAAACCGAAGAATGGCTTAGCTAACCCTAAACCCTAAACCCTAAACCCTAAACCCTAAACCCTAAACCCTAAACTGCCCTCAACCCTCAGTTGCTGCTCTGAGTTGGAGGGTTCAGGGTTGCGTATGTTCTTGAGGATTTCGGTTTCGACATTCTAGGGGTTTAAAGAGTTTAGGGTTTAGGATTTTTAAAGGGTGTAGGGATTTTCGGGCCCCTCCCACCATAAGCCTGTATGTCGGTGCTGGGGTGGTCGTCGTGGTCGTTGGGAACAGGGTCGTGCCTCTCAGACTGGATGAGGTCTTACTGCTTCAGGGTTCCTACGGTTGATATGGTGCTTCGGGGCTCCTATCACCCGGGCAAGTGCCTTTTGGGGCCTTTTGGGGCTACATAGTACAGGATATAATCCTGCGTTACCCTTAATAAGGAAAAAACCAGACTTCCCATCGGTTAGGATCCTTAAGGTAAGGCAGGATTTATATCATCAACCGTATCACCAGGGCAAGTGTCCTTTGGGGCTACATGTTACGGGAGAATCCTCACCGTAGGAAGAGCACAAAATTAGCTTCCTGCCAAGAGGTTGGGAAACCCCCCCCCCCCCCTCGCTGAAACGCAAAACTCTACAAACCCTAATCCAAAACCACTAGCCCCAAACTAGGGGTCAGAAGAACATACGATAGTAACCCCCAGAACCTGATTCTAATTCTTAAGGCCCCAGATTAAGAAGTTTCGGGCGGTTCGGGACTAGGGCGTTGGGTTGAAGACTTCCAGAGGGGAAGAAGGCTGCAGCGGATTGCAAGCTTGGGGAACGCCGCTAAACCCTCAGCCCTCAACCCTGAACCCTAAACCCTAATTTCTAAACCCAAAACCTTGAACCCTAAGCTCCTTTCGGAGGGTTCAGGGCTTGGGGGCTTCGTGTGCTTTGAGGCACCAAGCTCTAATCACCGCGCCTGCCGTGGTACTGACCACCACGTCCGAAGACTCCACAAACCTGGCGCCCGCGTTGCTTTAGGTTCTACGGTTTGGGGCTTGGTGTTTAGGATTTCGGTATGTGGGGCTTATACCTTGCTGCTTAGGGTGTTCAAGGCGTCGGTCCCTAAACCCAGTTTAGGACTTCTATGTCTACAGGGACTATAGGGCTCCAAGGTCCAACCTGGAGGTTGGGTTTTAGGGTTTAGGGTTTAGGGTTTGGGGTTTAGGGTTTAGGGTCTAGGGTTTAGAGTTTAGGGTTTAGGGTTTAGGGGTTAGGGTTTAGGGCAACTTGGGGACTATAATGGATAGTTTTGACCTCATTGCCACTGGGCGACCCTGGGTGCTGCGTGGCCCCAGGAGGTGTGGGTTCCAGGGCATGCGTTTTGGGGCTCGAGGTTTCCAGGGGGTTCGGGTTTAGGGTTTAGGATTTAGGGTTTAGGGTTTAGGGTTTAGGGTCTAGGGTTTAGGGTTGAGGGTTAGGATTAGCTTAAGGCACCCTTTAACAAAGTTCAAAGCACGGCCTGTGGTTGTTAGTCGCGTTTCAAGGGTTGTTGACTTGGAGGTTCAAGGTACTTATGACTTTAACTATAACTGTACTAATGAGCCCCCCAAGGTCTCTAAGTAAGTTCACCTATAATTGGGGCTACACGTACCCCTGAACCTCGGCCATACCCTAAACCCTAAACCCAAATTTCTCAACCCTAAACCCCCTTGCAGGGGTTGTTTAAGGCTCCTGAAGCAAATTGTTCCTTGAGGGAAGGACCCCAATAAGGTACCCCTAAACCCTAAACCCTAAACCCTAAACCCTAGACCCTAGACCCTAGACCCTAAACCCTAAACCCTAAACACCGAATTTCGAAAACCCCCAATTCTGGCTTTGGGTGGGGGGGGGGGTCACCAGGAGCCGAGAGGCTTCCCAGCACAGGAGTTCACCACCTTGGTGAGTCGTCACTGGCTTCGGGTTTAGGGTTTAGGGTTCCGGGTTTAGGATTTAGGGTTTTAGGGTTTAGGGTTTACGGTTTAGGGTTTGGGGTTTAGGGTTTAGGGCTTGGGGTGTAGGGTTTAGGGTTTCGGGTTTCGGGCTTCGGGCTTCGGGTTTTTCGGGCTGTTTTCTTACACTCAGGCTCGTATGCTTTCTTGGGGCTCTCGGCATGCCAGAGCTTGCGAGGGTCTCTTATAGGGTGTGTGAGAGCTCGGGAGCTCCTAAACCCTAAACCCTAAACCCTAAACCTTAAACCCTGAACCCTAAACCCTAAACGTTAAACCATAACCCTAAACCCTAAACCCTAAACCCTAAACCCTAAACCCCAAACCCTAAACCTTAAACCCTGAACCCTAAACCCTAAACCTTAAACCATAAACCCTAAACCCCAAAAAGCCCTAAACGCAAAACCCTAAACACTGGTTTTGGGGGGCTTCAGGGCCTCGTCTCATTTACTCCAAGCTGCGGCGTTCATCTTGCTGCACATCTGGCTTTTCCGGTACTTCGTGTTGAACCTGAGTTAGGGTTTAGGGTTTAGGGTTTATTGATTAGGGGTTTAGGGTTTCGGGTTTAGGGTTTAGGGCCTAGGGTTTAGGGTTGAACCTGAGACTGCGCGGGTGGTTTATAGGGTCCTTAAGGCAGAGGGGCTTCATGGGGTTTAGGGTTTAGGGTTTGGGGTTTGGGGTTTGGGGTTTGGGGTTTGGGGTTTGGGGTTTGGGGTTTGGGGGTTGGGGTTTGGGGCTTGGGGCTTGGGGCTTGGGGCTTGGGGCTTGGGGCTTGGGGCTTGGGTCTTGGGGCTTGGGGCTTGGGGTTTAGGTTCAAGGGGGAATGAAACCCAAGGATCCCTAAAACTACCCCCTACTCTCGAAGGCTTCCTAAGCTTGCCTAAAGTTTGCTAGGTACCTTCCCTGCATGAAACCACCTGAGCCCTAAACCCTAAACCCTAAACCCTAAACCCTAAACCCTAAACCCTAAATGAACCCCCCATGCCTTAAGGACCCTAGAAGTTGTGGGCCTAAGCGACCCAGGGGCAAGTGCATGTAGTCCCTTAACAGACCCTCGGCTGGTTTAGGGTTTAGGGTTTAGGGTTTAGGGTTTAGGGTTTAGGGTTTAGGGTTTAGGGTTTAGGGTTTAGGGTTTAGGGTTTAGGGTTTAGGGTTCAGGTGCCAGACCGCCGTGTAGCTTGAGCAGTTTGTTTAGTCTCTCAAACCCCACATCCCAAACCAGGAACCCTTGAACCTGAAGAACCTTAATGCCCTGAAGCCTGACACGCTTGAAGCCAAGAGGTTTTCGGACAAAGGCCCCCGAAGCGCTGAAGCGCCACGTGACCCAAACCCTAAACCCTAAACCCTAAACCCTAAACGCTAAACCAGTTAGCGAGCCTTTCAGGCCCTTTGCCTTCTAGATCCCGGACTGCCAGCAAAAGCACGACTAAAGGGGTCGGAATAAATACTGGCAGTATTCCCTCAGAGCCCCTTCGCAACTATCCTATAACATCCTCCCCAAACCCTATTCAAAGTACTAAGGCCCCGGTAGTACAAATCTTGCCTCGGCATGTGGAGACAGTAAGATACACCAAATGGCGTGGGATCTCTTCTTGGTCCTTCGAGGACTCGGGACGCGGAAATTCGGAACCTAATCTGACTGTGCGGAGTTACCCGCTTGCCGAGCGCATACCTTCCCCCCTCCCCCGGCCTTATTCTCTGACATTTCTACAAGAAAGAAAGACCTTATGGCTACAGAAAGATGTACATGTTGTCAATCAATATATATATATATGTATATATATATATGTATGCTTATATCTGTAGTTTTGGATATACAATATCAAAACCCACGTTGACTTTGGGAGGTCTTAACACAAGAGGACGACCCAACATCGGCACAAGGAACTGGTACACGCCATCGAGCTTGCCGTCCCCATAGTCCATGATGCCTGAAGTGGCAAATCTCGTAGAGGGTTTGGGGTTTAGGGTTTAGGGTTTAGGGTTGAGGGTTTAGGAGGGATACTCGGAGGTTCAGGGGTACTTACGAGTAGGGCTAATCTAAGTATGATAACCTGCTTTAAGGGTACTCATAACCCTACTTGTAGCTACACATGAACCTCCAAGTGGGGCGTAGCATAAGGGCGTAAGGTTGGGCTCAAAGCTTGAGACTTGGAGACGGTAAGGGATCAGGGCTTGAAGACCAAAGCCTGGACCCCTTACAGCCGCTACTTAGCCTGACTTAGCAAGTCAGTCTGCAGAGTATCCCTAGAAATCCTATGACAACTACCCACAACCCACGTTTACGAACCCTACTTACGAACTCAAAAGGGCTTTCCAAGCCCTGGACAGCGACTGTCCTAAACCCCTGAATCTCGTAAAACAAAATCCGCTCGATCATTCGTCCATTGTTTTCCTTGAGATCCACGTCGAGGGATTTACATGGTTTACGGACTGAGAGGTTCACATGCTAGACGGATTAAGGTTCAGAAGTTAGGGCCTAAACCCTACACCCTAAACCCTAAACCCCAAAGGAGTTTAGGGTTTGGGCATTTGGGCAGGGGGGTGAGGGGTGCGGGCTTAGGGTGCTTTCCGGGGTTTTGGGGCTGAGGCCTTAAGACGACCCCAAGAGCTTAGGGTTTAGGGTCCTTTCGCCCCTCGTGTTTTTGGTGGGATTCTTGGGGCGTTAAGAGGCCTGGTAGCCCAAGAGCCATGTGATAATATGGGCACCCTTTTTGCCTTTTTGGGGTTGGCGGGTACTTTCTAAGAGTTTAGGGTCGAGGGTTTAGGGTTTAGGGTTATTTAGGGTTTAAACAAAAAGGGGGACAGGGTATCACTGGGCTATCAAGTATGGCTACACCGGCTACATGCGTAATCAAGGACTACACAGCCCCTTTTAGGGGACCCCTAAACCCTAAACCCTAAACCCTACACCCTAAACCCTAAACCCCGAACATTGCCAACAGCGCCTCCGGTAGTCCCCTGGCCATCCTCGAAGGAGTGGCCGCCTTCAGAGGTTCAGGATTTCCAGTAATTGGGTTTTAGGGTTTGTTTAGGGTTTGAGTTTTAGGGTTTACGGTTTAGGGGGGTTTAGGGCTTAGGGCTTAGGGTTTAAGGCTTGAGGCTTGGGGTTTCGATCTTCTTGAATAGGGAATGAACCTTGAATTATCCATAGGGGCTTTGCGCAAGGAATTTCCAAAGCCCTAGCTGGCCTGACAGGGTTTGGGGCTTGTCGTACTTTAGGGTTTAGGGTTTGGGTTTCAGGCTTATGCCATAGGGTTTAGGGCATGACTATTTTTTGGAGTCTGTTCCACACGCCAAGTGGAGCTTTTGCTTTGGTGCTGCCCTAAACCAACCTTAAATTCGAAAACCCTCAACCCTAAACCCTAGACGCTAAACCCTAAACCCTTAATTCATCCTGAAACCCGAAAAACCCAGAAGCCCTCGACCTAACCTTTGGGGCTATTTTTGGGCTTCGAGTTCGGGCCGAGTGTCTTCCTTGATTTGGGAGACTACCAAAACAGGGGATCCTTAAAACAGACCCCAAATAATAGGATTCCCTTATAAAATAAGGACCCCAAAAAGGTACCCCTATTTCCGACAACCCCATTTGTTTGCGGCCCTTCATGTTTCGAGGTGGGCATGAAATGATGTGGGAACAGCGAGACAGCGTCGGATGGGTTGTGCTGGATTGTTGCTGTGCCATTTCCCAGAAACCCAGGTAACCCTAAACCCTAAACCCTAAACCCTAAACCCTAAACTCTATTCGGCAGCTCACCGCAAACCCTAAACCCTACTCTCCACCTCTCTTGCACCTGAAAGTGCCTCGAGACCTGTGTCCCCCATGGCCTGCACCATCCCCGTAGTCGTAACTAAACCCTAAACCCTAAACCCTAAACCCTAGACCCTAGACCCTAAACCCTAAATTGTGGAAAAAGTCCAGTATGCACAATGCGAGTACATTGTCAATACTCAGGGGGCCCTAAGCCCTAACCCCTAAACCCTAAGCACCCTAAGCCCCCCTCAAACCAGATACCCTCAACTCTTCCCACCCTAAATCCTAAAACCTAGACACCCTCAACCCTAGACACCCCAAACCAAATGCCCAAAACTCTATACACGCTAAAAAAGCCTAAACCCTAAACCCTAAACCCTAGACACCCCGGGCCCCAAACCAGATGCCCTAAACCCTATACACCCTAAGCCCTAAGCCGTAAGCCCTAAGCCCTAAGCCCTAAGCCCTAAGCCCTAAACCCTAAACCCTAAACCCTAAACCCTGGCCTCCGAAGTTGTGGCCCAGCTCGTGCGCAAAGGTCGTCCAGGCGCTGTTGACGGAATGGAGCTGGTTCACTCCTGCACGCGCGAACGCACCCGCCATTTTTAGGGGACTGCCAAAGACCCCACATTAGAAATCTACAGGTTTAGGGTTTAGGGTTTAGGGTTTAGGGTTTAGGGTTTAGGGTTTAGGGTTTAGGGTTTAGGGTTCAGGGTGTAGGGTGTAGGGTTTAGGGTTTAGGGTTTAGGGATCCCTCCTACGGTTTGAGGAATAAAGAAATCTACAGGTTTAGGGGTTTAGGGATCCCTCCTACGATTTGAGGGCCGATGGATTCCCCAAGACGGTCGCTGCTTGTGATGCGCTGAAGGGCCACTCTAAACCCTAAACCCTAAACCCTAAACCCGAAACCCGAAACCCTAAACCCACTCCTGTGTTGTAGCCTCTGGTGTCGCACATGCCGCCGCGCCACGCGACGCCGACGGTACCTTGGCGTGGACGGACAGGACCTAGTTACTTAATGAAACCTCCTAGCCGGTTTTTTACCGAAGAGTTGTAGTTTAACAGAGGATCGAAACACAAAAGCCCTTCAGGTCACCCTCAAACGCTGCTGCGACCTCAGACTCGTTTAAACAATCAACCCATAAGATTCTAGAGGCCTCTGCAAGCAGGAGGGTGTTAAGGTTCTAGATGTGAAAGAGACCGGGGATTTTGAGTAGGAATTGAAGGGCGGGCCGTAGATTCAGCCCAGCGCAACGCTTCATCTGAAATTTGATGTACAGGGACTGGGTGTAGGGTTTAAGGCATTGCAGCTTAGATCCCTCGAGGTGAAGAAGGAAGTCGCCGCAGCAGCAGCAGCAGCAGCAGCAGCAGCAGCAGGAGGAGGAGGAGGAGGAGGTGTAGGGTAGAACTTTGTACGCGTCAGCAACCCAGCAGAACTTGCCACGGTCTCGCTGATCGCTCGACAGCTCCCGCCTACCCCACAGAAGGAGATGAAGTGGTGGGTTTGCAGTTAAGGCTTTAAGGCGATCTAGAAAATGAAGGGCCCACAAAAACACCAAAGGGCAAAAGGCACCAGTGAGGTTCCGAGCACCCCCAACACCATGCACCCAACACTGTAAACCAGAAACCCTAAAACCCTGAAACCATCAAAACCCTAAAGCCCTACCACCCTGAAACCCTAATAACCCCAAAGCCCCAAACTCCAGAACCCTAAACTCCCCAAACACCAATTCAAAGGCGTCTTAACCTCGGATGGCCCATAAATCCCTGCGAAAAAAAATCCTGAATATGAGATGTCCCAAGGGCCTACCAATACTTGGCTGCACCTAGGAGGGTAGCTATAAATTAGATTTTTAGCTGCCTTACTAGGAAACCCAATGAACCCAAAAAGGCTAAGGATCTAAAGTTACAGTAAAGCACCACAAAGAAAATAGGGGCCTTAAGAATTAGAATAGGCTTTGGGGTGTAATATGGTATACTTGGACAGGGGCCCTAAGGGAATACGATTAGCAATTATTCCGCGCCCCCGCTATATTGCCGGAAAGTACCCTAAAACCCTAGACCCTCCAAACCCTGTAAACCCTCTAAACCCTCTAAACCCTCTAAACCCTCTAAACCCTCCAAATCCTCTAAACCCTCTAAACCCTCCAAACCCTCCAAACCCTCTAAACCCTCCAAACCCTCTAAATCCTCCAAACCCTCTAAACCCTATAAACCCCAAACCCTAAACCCTAAACCCCCATACTAAAATCCAAGACAGGCTACCATAGCCGTTCCCACAGCCGGTGAACAGGTGCAGCGCTCCTTCCGGGCTGTTTACGGCGCGGAGTCTTGGGGTCTTTGGGGGTCTTGGGATCTTTGGGGGTCTTGGGGTCTTGGCATTTCGGTTGCGGACGCCCCCGCCGGTGTTGGGTTTAGGGTTTAGGGTTCAGGGTTTAGGGTTTAGGGCTTAGGGTTTAGGGTTTAGGGTTTGGGGGCTTAGGGTTTAGGGCTTAGGGTTTAGGGTTTAATTACGGTTCAGGGTTTAGGGCTGTTTCGGCACGGGGCCCTGGGGCGTTGGCATCTTGCCCAACGAACTGCATCCGGTGCATGAATGTTGGGACGCAGCCCGCAACAGAACAGAACTAAAGAATACACCACAACCCCGAACCCCTCCCCCCCCTCCTTCCGGGTGTTTAGGGTGTGCTATAGTGAGGGCCACAGAATCGGGTTTCTGGGGGTTTACTTACTAAAGCATAACTACTTAGGGACCATACGGGAACTCTATTCGTAATCACTTTGACCACAATAGAGGGCTTCGGCCCCTCAAATCTCCCCCCCCCCCCCCCCGCCCAAGCGTGCTCCTTGGAAGGGGTGCGAGTTGCGATCCGAGGCCAAGTTGTCCAGCCTCAGCTATCCAAAGAGCCCAACAAGCCTTATGAACCTTAATTGATATAGGTATGTATATATGTGTATATACATACATATATATATATGTATATACACAGGGGTCCTGAATTACGATTTAAGGTATTTTAAACCCTAAACGTAAACCCAAACATCCTCTGAGGTACTACTCCTTGGATTGGGTACTTTGGGAAAAGGCTTTGGGAGCTGGTGCTTCGGGGAGTTCGTGTCAGGGTTTGAAGCCTCGGGTTGAGAAGGATTTGGAGACTTAGGGTTTCGGTTTCGGGTTGAGGGTTTAGGGTTTAGGGTTTAGGGCTAGGGCTGTTAGGGCGTTTCTAGGGTTCACCCAGTGCCGGGTCAACAGGTGGGTGTCACGGGTGATTCTTGTTCAAAGCCTTAAACCCTCAGCCCAAAGCCTTATAAACCCTAACTCCTGTTCACGAGCCCTTTCAGGAGTTGACATGCCAGCAGCACCAGCACGGATCTTCTCCTGTGAGGCCCTCCACAAAAGGCAAGGACGCAACCTAAACCCTCTTTTTAAACTCTTGCCCCTTGCCACCACTATGCTATAGGAATCCCGCTAGACCCTGCACCCTAAACCCAAACCTCAAACCCCAAACCATAAACCCTAATTTTGGGAATCCCCTAAACCCTAAAGCCTAAAGCCTAAAGCCTAAACCCTAAACCCTAAAGTATAAGGCAAGGGGGCTTGGTCGAGATGTCGCCGCAGCCCTGCGCAAAGCGGGGAGCCCCCGTGTCGCTGGTGTAAATCCTGACCTGGGGCGCCGCGGAGCTTCGTAAAGAGCCCCCCAAAAGCAGAGATAATCATCTCTCATTGCCCTGAAAAGGCAGATATACATGTATGTATATGTACCTTTTTTTAATGTGCATGTATTGGTTATCTATATATATATGTACATATATATATATATATATATATATATTTGAGTGGGTTGATTAGAATGGATTCATGGGTAAGGGATTAGGATCATGCATTTGGGCTAAAGGTTCAAGAGCCCAGGGTTTTTGGAATTCATGGTGTTCGGCTACCTGGGCCTCCAAGCATTAGACTGTTATTCTTGGGCTTCTCCCCTGGAGGCCATTACCTTCTAGCGGTCATGCGCAGGCTTTGAGATTACCAACAGGATGAAGTTAGGCAGGCTCAGAGGCTTGGTGTTTGGGGTTTAGGGAGCTCAGTGCTTAGGGTTTGGGGTAGAGGGTTAGGGTTTACGGTTTAGGGCTTGAGGGAGCTTAGTGTTTAGGCTTTGGGTTTAGGGTTTGGGGTTCAGGTTTAGGGTTTAGGGTTTAGGATTTAGGGTAGCCTCCGCCCCTTGAAAGTTTGGGTTGATAAGGTTTCAGAGCCTGGAGAGTATCTGTAGGGTTCGGGGCTTAGGGCTGAGGGCTGTTGGCTGAGGGTTTAGGAGTTAGCGGCTTGGGGCTTAGGGTTTAGGATTTAGGGCCCCAAAACCCGAAACCTTGAGAAGCAGGCCCTAACCCTAAACCCTAAACCCCAAACTCAAACCCTAAACCCACAAACCATACAAGCGGCGCGACGCTCGTTTAGGGTTTAGGGTTTGGGGTTTAGGGTTTAGGGTTTAGGGCTTGTAGGGGACTACTTGTAAGCAGGTTTCGTGTGAGGGGGTTCCGGGGATGATAGTAGGGTCTCTCGGGGTTCAGGATTTGGGGTTTAGGGTCTAGGGTTTAGGCTTTAGGGTTTAGGGTTTAGGGTTTAGGGTTTAGGTTCGAGGAGCAAGTTGCGCCGCAGGTTCCACCAAGCCGTTCAACGGGCCGCGCACAGGATTTTTGTGACTTCGGGCGCTGCTTGGCGGCACGATGCCTTCTTGAACTGCGCTCCCTCAAGCCTAAACCCTAAACCCTAAACCCTAAACCCTAAACCCGAAACCCTAAACCCTAAACCCTAAAACCCCTCAACCCTAAACTCCTGAACCCGAACATCACAGCTGGCTTAGGACCATGGTCCCCCTGTCACCCGGCCCAAGCCCCCGGCATAGCCGATGCGCAGAAGAACGTGGAACCTCAGGTTTTAGGGCTTAGGGTTTAGGGTTGAAGGTTTAGGGTTTAGGGTTTTGGTTTAGGGCTTAGGGTTGGGTGTAGGGTTTAGGGTTTGGGATTTAGGGTTTGGGGTTTAGGGTTAGGGTTGGGGTGTAGGCGCTGCAATGCGGGGACGCCTTCTGCGACTCGCATCAAGCTTCTGCACCACTTGCGTTACAACTCCGGCGCTTGCGCACGTCATAGTGAGCCAACCTCGTAAGCCTGGAGTCCCAAATCGCCTAAACCCTTAACCCTAACCCCTAAACCCCTAAACCCCATGTAAACCCTACCATAAACCCGAAGCCCTAAGAAGCCTAAACCCTCTAAGCTCATAAGCCCTTCGAATTCACGGCGGCCACAAGAATTCAATCCGGGGTTGTGGCTACCCCTAAACCGCAAGCCCCTAAACCCTAAACCCTAAACCCTCATATGCCTAAACTCCACTGCCAGAAGAAATCATCAAAGGTTGGGGCTACGTTGAGGGTTCAGGGCCCAGAGGCTGTGCCGTTAAGGTTCGGGGCCTTTGGGGGGTTTGGGCATTTCTGGTTTGCGGCATTAGGCGGCGGAGTTCAGGCGATCCCTAAACCTCAAACCCTATAAGCCCTAAACTCGAAACCCTAAACCCTAAACCCTAAACCTCAAACCCTATAAGCCCCATAGGTCCTACAATATGAACCAAGAAGGGTTCTGTGGCGGGGGAAGGAGGGAGGGGGTTGAGGTTTAGGGTTTGGTAACTTACAGGCTCTAGGGTTTGGGGATGCAGGGCGTCTTGAGGCCATGATCTAAGGTGTGGGGTTGAGGGTTCAATTTTAACAGGGGTGTCGGGATGTAATCAGCGTTTAGGCTGGGATTCGTTCTTGCGGATGCAATCTTAGACTCGCGCTGCTTCTCATAGATGAAGGATGCCTCTGAGACCACCTGGCGGTGCAAGAAGGGAGCTCCTACCCTGTAGGTTTAGGGTTTAGGGTTTATCTAGGGTTTAGGGTTTAGGGTTTAGGGTTTCGGGTTTCGGGTTTCGGGTTTAGGGTTTAGAGCCCTAACCGTTCGTGCGAATAAGGTTGAGGGTCTAGGATGCTACACGGTCACCCAAGTTGCCGTGACATCCCAACCCTAAACCCTAGGTCCTGAGGGCGGCTATGGGAAACCCAGCCTGCTCCATCATGCTCTGCAGCTCTTGTCCGTGCTCTTGCCAAGCATCCACGTCCTGAGAGGAGGGGGGGGGGGGATTGGGAGGGAGCCCCTCCCTCCCAGCCTCCCAAAAAAAAAACCATAAACACGAAGTCCCGAAAACATCAATGGAAACCCTGAACACGAAGTAAAAACCCTTGAACACATTAAGCCCCCATACCCGTACGCGTCTCAAACCCTCAAAGCGATGCTTTGCCACCTGCCACGGCAACTCATTTTTAGGGTTTTGGAGGTTTGAGGTTTAGGGTTTAGGGTTAGCCCGCAGACAACTCTCGAAACTAACATCTGCACAAAAAGAGCACCAACCTACTTCTGAGAGCGGCGCAAGACGGAAAATGCTACGAACAACCCCCAAGGTGAGCATGTGATTACGATTTGCTTAAGAACCACCCCCATAATATACTTTCGTAGAAGGGCACCCTAAACCCTAAAGCCTAAACCCTAAACCCTAAACCCTCAACCCTAAACAATACAGGGACTATTCTAATTCATGTCTTGGGGTTTTCTTAGGCAAGTAGTAGTTTGCAGGGCTCTCGTTGCAGCCAGGCTTTACAGATTCACGCCTTTGGGATTTCTGGGGATTCTGGGCGCAGGGCTTAGGGTGATTGGTTTCCTGTTTTTTGTTTTTTTCTCCTCAGGGTTGTGGTGCTTTGGGTCAGGAACTTGGAGTTTGGGGGCTTGGGCCCAAAAACCCTAGCCCCTAAACACATTTGGAGTTTGGGGTGAGGGTTGAGGGCAAAGGGTTCGGGCACGTGACGATGCGCCAGCAGACGTCAACGGGTGCCACCGCGGGTCTTTATGCACCATGTGTTGGCTTCGCGTGCTTCTATCCCTAAACCTAAACTAAACCCTATCCCCCAAATAAATAAACAAATATATATATATATATACATATACATATATATATATATTATGTGCATAAACAAGTGTATAACATACATACATATATATATATATATATGTATGTATATATATATGTATGTATATATATATATACATATATATATATATATTAACATATAAATATATATATATATATACATTACATGTAGATACACTATATAGGTACATCACTGGATGCAAGCAGGCTGCTGCCACGACCCCCACAACGAAGTCGTGCAACTTCGAGTCTCCTCCACATCTCCGGGAAAACGTTGGGGGAGGGCTCAGAGGGTTTTGGGGTTCCAGGGTTTTAGGGTTTAGGGTTTTAGGGTTTGGGGTTCAGGGTTCTAGGGTTCTGGGGATTCAGGTTCTAGGGTTTAGGGTTTGGGGTTCAGGGTTCTAGGGTTCTGGGGATTCAGGTTCCAGGGTTTAGGGTTTGGGGTTCAGGGTTCTAGGGTTCTGGGGATTCAGGTTCTAGGGCTTAGGGTTCTAGGGTTCCAGGGTTCCAGGGTTCCAGGGTCCTAGGGTCCTAGGGGGTTCTAGGGTTCTAGGGTTCTAGGGTTCTAGGGTTCTAGGGCTCCAAGTTCTGGGGTTTAGGGTTCATAGGGCGGGGGTTCTAGTGGGTTCCAGGTTTTAGGGTTGGATGTCGAGCGAGTTCTAGGGTACCAGAGAGTCTGGGCGGGCCCAGGGCTTAGGGCATAGGCTCCTTCTTGAAGGTTCATGGAATTTATTACCCAGTACTTATAACTGCACTTATTACCATATTGGGGCCCTTAGAGGGCTTCTAAGTGGGTCATAAGTACAGTTATCATTGGTTGCTAAGAGGCTACGGAGGCTCAGGAGCTCGTGATCTACGTCGCACTTGCCCTCGAGACAGGAGCCCCAAAAGCACAAGAACCACAGATCTCGACCTCCCGCCGCCGGTCGCCTGTGAAGGCCACGGTTTAGGGTTTAGGGTTTAGGGCTTAGGGTTTAGGGTTTAGGGTTTATAAGGGTTTAGGGGTTTAGAAGAAAAACCAGCACCTCTCTGAAATACACCGTGGCCAGCTAACCACCAGAGACCACAGTCTCCGAATTCCATCTCCAGCGGGGCATCCTGCTGGAGGCCGTGTCAGCGATCTGAATGTCACACTGCTGCCAACTGATGGACAAAACTCGGAAGTTTAAGGCTCAGCAGATTCAGCGGCGAGTGCTTCAGCGGGAAAAAGCCAACATAGCCCCAAGAACGCGTAGCGGGAAGGGGGTTCATGGGGGGTATGGAAGCTTCGGGAGCCTTAGGGAGTAGTGGGGAGTATTGGGGAACCTTGGGTTACATACTGCCCTTGAACTCTCTCCCTCCCTTAAGAACCCTATAAAAGAAGCAGCCAACTGAACCCGCACCCCGGGACCAGGAGCAGGGTTCATAGAGTTGGAGAAGGTTTATATAGCGCGTAGATAGTGTTGTTAGAGGTTTGTGCAGGGTTGATAGGGTTGGTTTAATAGTGTTTTTCGGACCCTAAACCTGGGCTGAAGCCTTAAGAGCCCGGTTCTGTAGGGGGTATTGGAGTTTAGGGTTTATGTGCACTCGGACTCTGCCCGTCCTGCATAGCAGCCTGGCGGCACACGGGCTCAGGATTTTGCCGGTTCCGGAAAGGAAGGCAGCCCGAAACCCTGAACCGCCTGAACCTCAAGCCATTCTGAACGGGGCCCGGCTGCACAGAACCCCATGTAAGAATAGGAAGCCCAAGTGTAGGCTGAGAAGACGATCTAAGGCTTGCATATGCGCTGCATCATATGTGCCTAGGGTTTTTGGTTTCATTAGACCCAAAACGCTAAACCCTCCCTAAACCGCACTTAGGCATATACACAGGAGCTAAAGCCTGAACTCCAAGAACTGCACTCCAGCAAAAAACAAACACAGGCCTCAACCCTCAGTCCGCTCCCTGTGAAAGGATCTGATTCTCACCCTTTCGTCTGCTCCTTTTTCACAAGGGTTTAGGGTTTAGGGTTTAGGAATTAGGGTTGAGGGTTTAGGGTTTGGCGTTTAGTGGGTTAGGGGTTTAGGGTTTATAGGGCTTAGAGGTTAGGGTTTACCGGGTGTACCCCTGAACCATGAATCCCAGGTCCGCCTGGGAACCAGGGAACGCCGCCCCAGGCCTCCTGGCAAGGAAGGTGCCGGGGAGCCACGCTGCCCGGGGGCGTAAAGGCTGTAGGCTTTCGGGGTGGAAGGTATTAGGGTTTAGGGTTTGGATTTAGGGTTTAGGGCTGGGGGTTTAGGGTTTAGGGTTTAGGGCTTGGGGTTTAGGGTTTAGGGTTTAGGGTTTAGGGTTTAGGGGAAACAAGCAGAATGGTCCATACACAGTACTCCTTCGAAAGCAAGAATCGCAATAGCCGAGCGTGCGAGGCTCAGCAAGCAGCTCAACAAACAATGCATGCCAAACAGAAGGAAGCGCTCCTACTTCTGAGGGCCGCGCAGAACCAGACTAAACCACAGGGTTTAGGGTTTAGGGTTTAGGGTTTAGGGTTTAGGGTTTAGGGTTTAGGGTTTAGGGTTTAGGGTCCGGGTGTCTGGGTTAAGGGCTTTGGGTTTTTGGGGCTTAGGGTTTCGGATTTAAGCCTTCGGCCTGATGGCTGTGGGGAAGCGGGGGGATCAGGGAGGGCTCATAGGGTGTATAGGGTTTAGGGTTTAGGGTTTAGGGTTTAGGGGGTTTGGGGTTTAGGGTTTCATGTTTATTGGGTTTTTGGCTTCATAGGCTTTGTAGGGATTGCGAAGGCGGGCGTTGTTCTGTCGCGATCCGAAAGCACTCAAGCTTCTTTCTGCCCTAAGGCTCTTGGGCCCCCCCTAAACCCTCCTAGGGAGGTACCAGTTCCTCTGTAGGAGGGTCCTAGGGACCCTAAACCCTAAACCCGAAACCCTAAACCCTAGACCCGAAACCCGAAACCCTAAACCCTAAACCCTGGCCTCTGGCAGGAGGTCGTAGATTCGAGACTTCGCGGGCATCTCGAACTTCGGAGTCTCCTGCGCAACTCGCAGCTTAGGAGCTACTAACCCTAAACCCTGAACCCTAAACCCTACACCCCAAACCCTAAACCCCAGACCCTAAACCCCAAACCCTAAACCCAAAGCCCTGAAAGCGGCCTTTCAAGCAGGGCTTAGGGTTTAGGACTTTGGGGTTAGGGTTTAGGGCTTGGGGTTTTGGGCTTAAGGAGCATGATGTCGGGTTTGGAATGGCGTTTCGGTTGTAGAGGGCGTTTTCAATCCAGCGTCCAACCGCCCTAAACCCTGAACCCCTAGACCCTAAATCCCTAAACCCTTAATCCTTAAACCCTGAATCCTATCCGGAAACCCTCGACCCCTAAACCCTGCAACTCTAAGCTCCAGTAGGCAACGGGGCCGGAACATGTCTAATCTCTACGCCCTGAATCTAAAGCTCGAACCCCGAAGTCTAGAGGTAAAAGCAGGTTCCAACAAGGGGTCTGGAGCTTTGGTGCTTTGGGTCTGGTTCAGGGCTTGCGTTTTAGGCAAGAGGGCTGAGGGTTTCGAATTTACGATTTGGGGATTAGGGTATACGGTTTAGGGGTTTTGATCAGGTCTTCGGTTTCTCTTTTGAATTTGGAGGGTGGGGAAGCCTAAACCCTAAACCCAAAACCCTAAACCCTTAACCCTAAACCCTAAACCCTAAACTCCAACCCCTAAAGCTTTCTGGGGGGGTGTTCCACAGAGTGGGCGCGGCTCCGGAAAGGCGTGGTCGTCGATGTCCTGGCGAGGGACAAACTCTTCCAAACCCTAAACCCTAAACCCTAAACCCTAAACCCTAACCCTAAACCCTAAACCCTAAACCCTAAACCCTAAACCCCATAAAGTAGTTTCTCCAAGCCAATGCGAAGGCAAAATCCTGAACTCCCTGGGACTGAGACCTTAAACCCTAAACCCCAGAAACCCTGAAACGAATCCCTAAACCCTAAACCCTAAACCCTAAACCCTAAACCCTAAACCCTAAACCCTAAATCCTAAACCCTAAACCCTAAACCCTAAGCCAACATCCACAAGTCGGCCCACGACGTCACAAGCAGTGCCAGCTGTAGGTTGAGGATTTGTGTGCCTAGGGTGTAGGGTTTAGGGTTTAGGGTTTAGGGTTTAGGAGTTAGGGCTTTGAAGCCGTAGGGGATGTGAGTTGGAGTCTCTGATGTGGATTTTGGGGTTGCGAGTCTCAGATTCATTGCAAAGCTCCGGAAGGCCCCCACCTCCCCAAGCCCGGAGAAGTCCTCAGTCACGCCTCCACCCTGAACCCATGATCCAAAAGCGTCATGGTGCCCTGAAAGGGCTCGCCCTAAACCCTAAACCCTAAACCCTAACCCCTAAACCCTAAACCCTAAACCCTAAACCCTAAACTCTAAACCCTAAAACCCAAAACCCAAAACCCTAAACCCTAAACCCTAAACCCTAAACCCTAAACCCTAGCCCTAAACCCTAGGCTCGAAGCCCGGTCCTTCAGAAAGCCTGGAGAGTCGAGATCCATGGCCTTGCCGTCTCCGTGCTGTTTCTTGCCTTCGAGGATGGGCGCCTGGCGCGTCTCTCCCCCCTGAAGCCCCGAAGTTGTGTAGGGTTTAGGGTTTAGGGTTTAGGGTTTAGGGTTTAGGGTTTAGGGTTTAGGGTTTAGGGTTGAGGGTTGAGGGTTGAGGGTTGAGGGTTGAGGGTTGAGGGTTGAGGGTTGAGGGTTGAGGGTTTAGGGTTTAGGGTTTAGGGTCCTGAGCCCTAAGCCTGCTGGAACACGAACCCTCAACTATAACCCTCGAGTTCACAAACCCTGAGCACCCGAATCCTGAGCCGTAAAGTTGCGAATCTCCCAAAATAATGGGTTCCGGTTCCTACTATTTGCCCCCCCCCCCAAAAAAAAAAAGAATTGAAGAGGGAAATCCCTACATTCTTGAGCAAAGAGTAGGTTTTTGGGTACCTCATGTAAGACTGGCCCAGAACCTAGGGTACGACGAACAAACAAACGGAACACAATGATTTTTGGGACCCTAAGTTCTCACAAATTGACTCCCTACGAGGTACCAGTCCCTCTGTAGAAGTGTATTTAGAACAAAAGCCCAGGCAGTTCGGGTCAGTGATCTGGGCGTCCAACGCATGGGGCTCGAGGAGCTTGTGATGTAGGGCTTAGGGCGGTTTGGGGTTAGGGTTTAGTCCTTAGGGTTTAGGGTTTGGGGTTCAGAGTTCAGGGTTTCGAGTTTCGGAATTCTTGGGGCTTCACCTGGGAAGAGGGTCCAGATCGTCGGGCTGCTGAGTTCAGGATTCAGATGGCTTGGTAGGGCTGAGTTTCAAAACCCCGATTTAGACCCGGGGAACTCCAACCCCAAACCCTCAACCTTCAATTCTCAACCCTAAGCCCTAAACCCTCAACCCTCAACCCTAAACACAGCCAAAGCCCTCCCAGGAGTAGCCTCCACGTCGCTTCTGCTGGAGGCGTCGGTCCTCAGCGTCCTCGGAGATTTTAGGGTTCAGGGGTTGGGGTGTAGGAGTTTGGGTTTAGGGTTTAGGGTTTTAGGGCCCGGTTTAGGGTTAGGAGTTTGATTAGGGCTTAGGGTTTAGGAGATTAGGGTGTAGGGTTGAGGGTTTAGGGCGTAGGAGTTTGGGGTTTAGGGTTTAGGAATTTAGGGTTTAGGAGTCTAGGGTTTCGCGTTTCGGTTTAGGAGCCATAGCTTTTAGGTTTCGGAGTTTAAGGTTTAGGGCTTAGGGTTTTGGGGTTTTGGGTTTACAAGGCCTAGGGCCTAGGGGTTAGGGTTTAAGTACTAGGTCCGTTTGGGGTTTGGGGGTTTCGCCTGCCGGGTTTAGGGTTTAGGGTTTAGAGTCTTATGCCTTTTTTTTCATGAGTCCCCCGCTAAACCTTAATAAGCTGAACCCCAAACCCTAAGCCCTAATCCCTTAACCTGAAACTTAAGCCCTAAACCCTAAACCCTAAACCCTGCCAAGCAGCAAGAGCTGCAGGCTATGAGATCCTTGGCTTCAAGACTGGGCTAGGGCTGACGGGCTCTTTTTCCGGAGGAGCTCCTCCGGGAATTCAGCCCTAAAGGGGTTAGGGCTTAGGGTCTAGGGTTAGGACTTCAGCTCCTTTCTCTGCTTTTTTTGTTGGGGTGGGGGGGGGGGGGGGATTCAGGTTGCTCGTGGTTTGGAAGGTCTTATGGTTTGAGGGCTTCGGCTTTTGGGTTTAGGGCTTCCGGTTTCGGGATTTTGGGAGAGGGCTTTGGGCTCCTAAGATGCTATGTGCTCGCTGGCGCAGGGGATGCAACTAGCATGTTCAGTGCCTTCAAGCTAGGGTTTAGGGGTTTGGGGTTCAGGGGTTTAGGGTTTTAATTGGGTTTAGGGGTTCCGAAACTCTGCTTGGGGTGCGAACGACTTTCAAGCCAACAAAAACCCTATGAACCCTCCAAGACACCCTAACACCCATTCAGGGTTAGGCCTTGCTGTTTCAGGCAGAATTACGGGGGTAGTTGGCTCTCTGGGAAACCCAAAGGGGGCTGCGGACCAGCATCCAGGCACATCGCCACGATCCAGGCGCATCACACGGCCGCCTCCGCTTTGGTTCAGGGTTAGGGTTTAGGGTTTAGGGCTTAGGGCTTAGGGCTTCGGGCTTAGGGCTTAGGGCTTAGGGCTTATAGGGCTTAGGGCTTAGGGCTTAGGGCTTGGGGTTTGGGGTTTGGGGTTTGGGGTTGGGGTTTGGGGTTTAGGGTTTAGGGTCTGCGAGACGACCCCGTTCGAGGCAGCTTCCCGCCAAGATGGAAAGTGGTAAAGATCCACAAAGGGGTATCCCGCCGTAAAGCCTGTGGCATCTGAACCCTAAATCCTAAACCTTTACACTCCCTAAACCTTAAACTTATTCAACCTTAACTCCTAAACCCTAAACCCCTAGGCTGATTCCCGAAACCTCGTATGCGCAACTGACGCAGCCCCTGAAACCCAAACCTCCCAACCCTCACCCCTAAGACCCCCTAAGCCCCTGAACCCCCCCCCCCCCCCCCGGGCAGAGGCAATCTTGCAGGCGTTCGGGGTCTCTAACACCATAGGTTTTAGGGTTTAGGCTTAGGGTGTTTCAGGATCCCGGAGACCCCTGAGACCCTCCTGGGGCCCTTTCCAGGAACCTCCTGCCTGACCATCGGTGACGGAAGACGATTTATTGGAAGTAAGCAGTTGTCCTGAGTTTAGGCCTAAACTCGAAAAGGAATAGGTTAGGGTGGCTTTGCCGCTTTGGACGGCGTGGGGTGGGAGAAAGGTGTTCGATGGCCTTCCACAATCGGGCCAGAGCTGCTCTTTCACAAGACGAGGCTTTCGCCTCTGCTAACTCCTAACCTTCACAGCATCTACGCCACATTACAGCAAACCCTGCACCCTAAACCCTACACCCCTGAATCCCTCAACCCTCCTGAACTGAACCCGCCGGTGACCTCGAGGCTCTTCAAAGAGGCCACTCACGGTCCTGTAGGGAAAAGGCTCTACGATCCTTTGGCAGGGATTGGGGCTCATAGGGTCTGCAGGACATTGGGGTTTGGGGTTTGGGGCTTTCGGGTTTGAGGGGACCTTCTCCTTGCCCTAAGGCGTCTTGTTATAAACGGTACCTACCGAGGGGACGCCAGATCGAAAAGCCCTTGTAATCCAAACAACCCCAGGAGCCCTGGGCATCCCCCAGCCCTAAACCCTAAACTCTAAACCCTAAACCCCACACCCTGAACCCCAAACCCTAAACCCCAGCTAAAGACACCAGGCCATGTGGGGGTGGCAGGTTGCAAACCTTTCCTGGACTCGCCCTGGTCCACGGGCTCGTTAAGAGGTCAGGATCTGCCCTTCAGCGTTGGGTACTCCAAAACCTATGGCCTCGCAGTTGGGATGGTTTAGGGTTGAAGACCCCAAACCCTAAACCCTGAACCCTAAACCCCAAACCCTAAACCCTAAACCCTAACTCCCAAGCCCAGGGCAGCTTCAGCTACTGCATCCATGCGTCCCGTCAGGATGCAGCCGCGCAGTTGCCCACATCTGAGGCGAGCGCGACCTGTGGCCAGCCCTCTGCAAGCAGCTTGAAGCTTAAGGGCTTTGGGGTTTAGGGTTTAAGGCTACCTAAACCCTAAACCCTAAACACCTAACACCCAAACCCTAAACCCTAAACCCTAAACCCCTAAACCCCTAAACCCTAAACCCTAAACCCTATATGGGGTTGTACGTAGAGTTTACAAACAGTTGACATGGCGCCAAGGGGGGTCAAGTGGAGGGGCTCTTATCAGAAGAGTCCGAAGCCTACTGGCTATCAAGATTCAAGAGCCCGTATATGGTCTGTTCTCTAAACTATGGCCCCTTTTTGGGTACCCTAAATATGAGGGGTCGCTTATAATAAAGGACCGAAAATGGGAATCATCCTTGGTGAAGTGACCAGTTTAGGGTTTAGGGTTTAGGGTTTAGGGTTTAGGGTTTAGGGTGTAGGGTGTAGGGCAACCTGGAAAGAAAACAAGGTGCCGTGTCCGCCGACCCTAGCGGCGTGTTGGATGGGAAAAGGAGGTGAAAACCTCCCTCTTTCCCTCCCCCCAAAACGCGGGGGGGGGGGGGGGGGGGGTGGGGGGGGTCGGTGCACAATTTTTTCTGGAGGACCGCGCCACCCGCACAGCGCAAACAGGCGGTTCAGCACAGGGGGGTAGGCAGCGTTTTCGGCACCCCCACCCACCCCCCCCCCAAACCCCCCACCCCCCCCCCCCCCCACCCCCGCCCCCCATTTGCCGAGCAGGCTGGGATGATCTTCGAACCATGCGAGCTTGTTTAGACCTCTCAACTAAGCTCCAGCGGGGTCGGCGGCTTGAGCCGGAGGCTCTTAAATTCTGGCAGTGGCGTTAAGGGTTTTGGCCTCAGGTGCAGCTCGGACAACATTGACATGCGGAATTTTCATGCAAAACAAAGCTCTGAACCGTAAACCCTAAACCCTCAACCAGTCTTTGACTGTCACTGGTACTTAGAGCTTCAGGCTCCGGGTTTAGGGCTTCGGACCCAAGCCAGCATGTGGGCCAGCATGCCCTGGACTTAGGGTTTCGCGCTCATCCAGCCCTAAACCCCCACGCATAGACACCTGTTGATAACGGCGTTCATCGCTAGAATTCCCAAACCTGACTTGAAAGTTCATGGGTAGCTATGGCATGGGGTTGCAAGTGACTTGGGACATCATGATTCAAGGGCCGTACTTAGGGTACCTATGACCCTACTGATAACTACCCATGAATCTTTCAGCAGGCAAGCGCCCTAAACCCTACATCCTAAACCCTAAACCCTAAACCCTAAGCCCTAAACCCTAAACCCTAAACCCTAAGTAAACCCCTGAACCCAAAGAGCGACTGGTGAGAGCGACTCTTGCAATCGGACAGCACAGGCTGAGGCCCCCTGCCGAAACACAGTTGGCTCCCTTGACAGGGGCGTGCTGCCTCCAGGCGGTTGGTCTTAAGGGTGAGCGATGTGGGTCCTGGGGTTATAGGTTCATAACTTGGAAGG